ATCTAATAGTTTGTCTTTTGAAGCATCTTACTCTATAGCTGATAGTCATTCATTTCAGAGCACATATTTCAAAAAGCAGATTACTACCCTTACAATGCTTCAAATAGTTTTGGGCAATATTAGGTATTTCATCTTATATCTTTACACTTCCTGAATTTTGAAACCTCTTTCAGCCTGCTTCAAAGTAATGCCAGAAGCTTGGTGAGATATATATATATATATATATATATATATCACTTTAAACATAACTTAATGGATACTCATATTTGAGTAGATGCTCCATTTCTTTTTTTAAATAGTGTATTTTTTACAGACCTGAATATTTGAAAAATCTTATTAAAGAAAAATATATACTCTCTGGCAGGATTTGAAATCCTCATCATAAATTCCTCAAAATTTTCATTTATGACAAGAAGGATTTCATTAAAAGGCACTATTAAAATTTTACTTGATCAACAAGGCTGCTTCATGGCCAAGTCGGTTAAGGCACATTGGATCTAACGATGGTTTCCCTCTGCCTAGAGGGATGCAGGTTCAAATCTTGCTGGAGAGTGTGTTTTTCTTTAATAAGCTTTCTCAAATATGCAGGTCAGTCGACAAAAATATATAAACAAACAGAACATCTATTCAATCATATGAGTATCCACTAAAAATAACATTTAAAGTGATAAAAAATCTGTTGGATTGCTGAATAAAAATTTCATTACTTTACAATATATAGGCAGTGTAATGCTTAGCAACCTTGTCTTTCTAGAACAATTACTACTGAGTAGTGAGTTTGATCCTTACTGAGTGCCTCCTACTTTCAGCCTTGTACCACATCTAAAGTAAACTTGGAAAATCGCTATATATATATATATATATATATATATATATATATATATATATATATATATAATAATGGTGTCAGTGTTGTACATAAAATAAGTGTATAAAAAAAAAAAAAATACTTTTGGTATGCTATATGCCTTTCTATTTGTATTAGTATTCTCATCTTAGTTACTATGCTCACAAAGCTTCAACCATTGTATCCATCTCACTGATCTACTGTTATCTGTCGTACTCTGTAACTTTGAAATTTTGAACCAAGCCCTTTATTCAATCCATGAGTGCAGATTTTTCTCTTTACAATGTCCATGCTATGTTCATTTCATCCCCCTCAGCAAAGCAATAGACCACTAAAACACAAGGGGTGCTAGAGAATAGAAAAATCATTAAGAGTAGGGAACATTGAAAGAACAAAAAATAAGAAAACGGAAGATAATGATTGATATTGCATTTTAAATTTTTGAAGATGAAAGTTTACTGAGAAGCAAGAAACCAAAAGATGAAACTATTAGTATAGAACTTACAGTTACTTCCAGCCATTTCAACTGCAAGATAATGACCAGATGTAATATATCAATTAATACTCATCAGTCTTATTCACCTTTCTGTGGTTTGCTTCTTCCACTGAACCAATGTCTGTGACTTTTCAGTACTATCAGACCCCGACATTGAACTCTCAACTATCATAAAACTCGATATATTTTAATCAACACTATGTAAAGGTGGTGAAAAATCACAAGCTCTGTTTCAAAGGAAATATATGAAGGTGAATGACCAATGATATTGTCCCCTAACCATGAAAAGCATAATGAAAGCCGTCTCTACCTGCAGATTGGATAAAAGGTACATCCACATTCAAATCACCATCATTTCCTTCATATTCCAAATGTAAGTAGAAAGTTCTACTCAGACAACTTTTTCCCAAGAATCGCAACTTTATGAAACAAACGGGATGCAGAATTAATTTCAACTTCACCCACCACGGCACAAATGAATCCAAACTTTTATTGTTGGTAAGTCGAAAACGGTAGATTTTATCAAAATTTCTGTTATTTTCAAATTAAGCATACACCTAAATGGAACTATTCAGGAAATCTTTATTAGAAACTGAGTGCAGGGCTTGAACTGCAAATTACCTTTTTGAGTTTCCAAGTTGAAATTATTTCTGTCACCCAAACAGACTTATATGCTTCCTTGCTTAATCTCTTCAAGTCAAGGGTCAGTTATATCTATTCTCCTTATCCTCATAAGCTTTCTTTCCTACCACCACCTCTTTCATTCATCTGCACCATATTCACCATTTTAACTGTAACCATTTAAGTAGTGGGTGAACTTAGTATAAAAAACAAAAAGGAGTTTAGTTCAAAATTCTAAAGTTACAAAATACAGCAACAGACATCTAAAGAAGTCTGGAGTGTACAATGGCCAAAACTTTGTGAGGAATGCACTAGACAATCACCAAAGTTAAGCAATATCAAGCCTAGTCAGTACCTAGATGGGTGACTACTTGGGAATACCAGGTGCTGTAAGATTAAATGTGCAGGTGGTGTAATAGATAATGGCTCAGAATTGTTAATCAGAAAGCTAAGTTTCAATTTCAGTCAGGTTTGTTGTATTCACTTATGTGCAAAATACTCTTGGGAAAGTTATGAAAACTAAGATTTATATTACTAAATTATTATTATCCCCAATTAAATAGATAGCAATTGACATTGTATTTGAATTTTTGAAAATTAAATTTGGTTGAAAAGCTTGTGGAACTCCCTTCCAGCTCCATGGTTCCCAGCCAACTATAATCTGCCTAAATTTAAATGCAATGTCAATTGCAACCTACTATCCTGAATACTCTTTCCTCTCATGTTCATGTTCCTAATTCTTCCACACCCTGTAAACCCTTGTCTCTTAGTTGCTTTATTGCCTTGCATGGGGTGATACTGATTTAAAAAAAATAAAATTATGTACAAAATATTTAGATTAAATAACCCAGAGTTGTCTAACCGTTTTTTCTTAATGGTTCAAATTATAAATTTAGGTATATTCACTGGGCCACAAAAAAGTACTTTATTTAAAAAGTTCAAAATATTGTGAATATCAAATTTTAAGAAATATATATATAATTACAAAAATACTGTATATTGACAAAAAAAAAAAATTATACATAGACAAAATAAATTTTGACATAGCTTTCCTTCTATAATATTGTTAACATCTGCTTTTATGGTACTAGTCTTTAAAATTCTAAGAATGTTAGTTAAATGGGAATCACTCAACCTATTTCTTTCACTAGATGTTTTTCATGCATGAAAAGAATTGTTCACAGAAGTATGTCCTACCCCACATGCATAACAGTTTTCCAGATAAGCTAAATAATAATTTTTTTTTATTATTCCTAAAAGTGCCTTTTAAATTACTTCTATAATCATCCAAGTCCATTTAATTTCAGTTGGGTTTGTTATATTCAGTTATGTGCAAAATACTCTTGAGAAAGTTATGAATCCAACTCTTCTCTCCCAGCTATGGGTTAATTAATAAAACGTATTACTAAATCCATTATCCCCCTCACCCGCCCAGCCCCATCAAATAAAATTATGTTCAAAATAGCAGTTGTTATGCCTCTATACAACAATAGCAAATATGAGTAACAATAATTCATCATCTCAAAAATTTTATATTTATATTTCTTTGGGACAAACTTACTATTTAGTGATATTCTGTATATATTTATTTATTCCCAAAAGTGTTTTAAATTATTTCTATAATCACCCAAGTCCATTTTACTCACACATTGGCTGCCCAATGAAACAAAAATAGTTTCCATATTGTTTATTTGTATAGATATTGATGTGATAACTAGTTTTCCAAGAATAATTCTAACTACTGATCTCATTCTTTTTATTTTGGCTGATCCATTCTTCAGGTGTACAGTTGGCATGAATATAATGAAAATAAAGAATGAGATCAATAATCCAAACAACTTCCAGTATTACAATGGTTAGTCTCAATATTACAGAATCTATTATTCCAGGTTGATTACAAATTGGAACCATAATTCTTACATGTGGGATATGGTTTTCTCTAGAGTATTTATTGTGACTTATTAAGTGTAGCTTAGATGTGACACAAGACTGCATCTATGGAATATTCTAAAGTATAATATTAGTTTTTTTATTTGAAAAAAATAATAGTTAATTTTAATTAATTATTAGTTTCAATTTAAAATATCTAGAAAAATCACATCCTTGCATCTTCAGAAGCTAGAAAAAAAGAAAAAATTAAATTTTTAACACACTGCATTATTCATTACTTTCCTTTCCACTGCATTGTTTTTCAAGGCTCCTCAACTGTACTATTTAATTTCAGTCATGATCGTTTTCTGTTGCCATAGCAGGATATGACAACACAACTGCAAAACGCTATCATTTATTCATCCAAGTCATTTGCAGAGGCAGTATAAAATTTTTGCTTTGCAAACAAAGTCACCTCCAGATTGTTAACGGTTAATTTAAATACTAAAACTAAGAATAATACAAATTAGTCTTTAAAATTTTTAAATTGACAAAGGACTTCAGTTAATCTTGTAATTGTTTTGTTTTACTAGAAATACTTGTGAAAATTTCACGCCTTTTCTATTTGAATTTTCTTATAAATCATAAGTTAATGACTGAATAAGCTATTGACAAGTTCTAAAACTGAAATGTCCATAAAAATTCTAAATTCTAAAAATAAAGTAATAGACAAGCAGAATTATAATGAGATATTGTATTTTCTACCATGATCAGTAATATTTGGTTGTGTTTATTGGAGCAAATCTTCACAATACTACAGAACATTTTCTCTCCAGTGTTTTGTTCTGTTTTAATTTTAAAAATCTTGATATTTGAAGGGTTTTAGTTATTCTGTAGATTTTCAGCTTTTCCAATCTTTTTGTTTGCTAATAATGGATGCAACTGTCATCTTCATATATTGCATCTTTTCTCTGTAAAGCCTGCAAAAAATACAGTTCACAAAACTACTCAATGTGGACCTCAAGTGGTCTTAAAAATAGTCAATTTTTTTTGTGTTCGTCAGATTAAATTCTGTGACTGATTTTGTATGCGAAAAATTCAGTTTTGTAGAAGTATGACTTTATTCAACCAATATTTCACTGTCTATTTAATCCCTCTTTACAGCCACATCACCTATTCTCATATGATCACTGAAGTTAAGCAACATCAAGCCTGATCAGTACCTAGATGGGTGACTGCTTGGGAATACCAGGTGGTATAATGGATAATGGCTCAGAATTGTTAATCAGAGAGCACAGATTCAATTTCAGTTGGGTTTGTTATATTCACTTAGATACAAAATACCATTAGGAAAGGTATGAATCTATATTTTCTCCCCCCAACTATGGGTTAATTAGTAAGATTTGTATCATTAAACTATTATTATCTAAAAAAATTCTTACAATCTAAAAATATTTTCTGGTTTTAAATAACCTGCAAAAGGTTGATAACACATAAAAAAAACAAGCCAATATTTAATCCCTTTAACTCTATAGAAAAAAAATAATTTCATCACTATCCCTTGCTCTCTGTCTGTTTCTCTCTCACTCATACTTAGTAATTTACTCTTGCAGTTTACAGTTAATTTTCTGTGATTATTGTGGCCTTTCATATTTTCTTAATTGTGCAGATCTGGCTGAGATATTTGTCCATCTTTTCACTGTTTTTGCTTCACTCTGGTTTAATTGAACTCTATCATTTCATTAGCTGACATATTGTTTTTCTGTCTATAAAAAAAAAAAACTAGATTCAGTCTCCTGGCTTCCCTAAATTTTCAAGATCTATTCAAAGTTAATCTTTTTCTCTTCTTGAGAACAACTGCTTTGTGTACATGCCATTGGTCTGCATGATAAAAAGTAGGTTGCTTGCACAATTCTCAGTGGAACACCATTTCTACGCAATCATGTATTTTTATACTTCTGAGCTAATTTTTTTGCATTCTTTTATATGAGTGACAGTTTCATCTCATTATCTATAAACTTTTGCTGGCTGTGAAAGTATATTGGTAAAAAGAATTGATTTGTAGTTGAGATTAAAGAAGCAATCCAAGTGTGTCTTAAACTCACCTTTTGAATCCTGAGAACATCAGTCTCTTAAAACAGTATTACTCATATACCAAAACAAGAAATACAGTTTTGCATAAAACTCATAAAACCAGTACCAACACAAAACATGATCTAATATCAACTGTCTGAAATGTTATCAATATATTTAGACCTTACTGTACTCTCTTATCTGCAGAGGATATGCTGTAAGAACTCCTCATTGGATAAAAACACATATATATATATATATATATATATATATATATATATATATATATATATATAATCATTTCACCACCTACATCCCAGCAAAAAAGAGCCTCTAAGACGTATGGGGTTGCTGAGTGTTAGAGAATATGAGAAAAGAAAAAAATGCTATTAAAGGAGAGAGAAAAATAAAAGAATAAGAATTAAGACACGATAACAATTGACATTGCATTTAAATTTTTGAAGATCAAAGTTAACGGAAGCCAGATGAGTTATGTAAACAAGGTGCAATAGAAGAAACTGTTAGCACAGAACTTACAGTTAAATGTAGCCATTTCATCTGTAAAACAAGGAGATGTTGCTGGCAATCTAGTAGTGCATTTAAATTGATAAAGTCTAGGTACTGTAGTGGAAAGTTCATCAGAAATTACAATAAAAGTATTTATAGAAAAGGCACAGGCAGGGAATGTACATTTTATTCATATATATATATATATATATATATATATACATACACATTTTGTTTTTCCTTTATATCCATACCTATAATAAAGTTTAATTTGCAAATTAATCACAATAAAAGATTCATAATAAACTAATTATAACAATATACTGTAATAAAAGTTATGTGACAGAAGATTCATTCTTACTATAGATCTTCGTTTGAACAATAAGAGATTAACAACATTAACAGTAAAATAGAACAATTATAAGAATATACTTTAAAAGTTATATGATGGATAGAAAATTCATTTTTATCCTAGTTCTTGTCATGCCCAATAAGAGATTAACAACAGTAACTAATAATAAAATTTAACAATTAGAACACTGTTAATAAAAGTTATATAATGGATAGATTTGTTCTTACTGTAGATTTTAGCATGTGATTTTTTTATTTCCTTATTAATAAGTATCCCAAACTGTCCTAGTTCACAGTACAAACATGTGTCAAAGTAGCAAAATTTTCCTTCCATTTCAACTGCTGATATCTAGTTAATTTTCTGGGCTATTTTGATAAAATCAGTATGTAAACAAAATTTAATCTTTCCTCTGTCTAAAGATACAATTATTTTTCATGTACAATGATTAGTTTTTATTCCACATCACTTTAAATCCTGTCAATGATGAACAGCAATTTTCCACATTTTAAAAGTTGACAGTTTTATGGTGTTTTTCAAATTAGTTGTTCTCTGAATTGTGCCACATATCAAAAAAGTCCCATCTCAAAGAAAAAAAAGACACGTGTCAATTTGATGAGCAAACCATAAGGTTTGAAGTTGTCTTTCACAAAAAAAAATTTATAAGTTCAAAACATTTCAACACTTAAAAAAAAATGAGATTTACACCTTGTAGAACAATGTTTTATCTTTAATAATCAGTCGGTTTCATATCTCTGCACACTTACAACTTGAGGCACACAGGAATTAAAAAGATGGTATACTGCATTCAGTTTGTGCAAGACACATTCAACATTGAAATTTGTATTGATATCTAAATGAATATTGATATATTGAATAAACATTACCAGCTAAATCCCATTTTAAATCAGACTTGTTACATCAATGGATATTATATTTTAAATTTTTTCTTACATATCTTTTAAAGATACATTTAAAAAATGTATAAGGCAACTATTTATTTTTAAAATAAATTCAAGCTGACAGTTTGAACAAAATTAAATCTTGTTTTATTTTGTCCAAATCATCAACTTGAATTGCTGTTACCTCAGTTATTCTTATTTAAAAAAAAAAAATAATTAAAATAAACTGGGTATATTTTTAGTTCTTTAAATTTTGATCATCTTCATTTGTCCATAAAAAATTAATGGTCATTTATAAAGTATTGCTACATACTGAAGAAAACTTTAAAACCCATTTTTGAATAATTTAAATATTTCCTTTGAAGTTAAATTTTGTTTTTAAAAAAAAATGGTAAGCAGTTTTATGTATTTAAGGTTTTAATTTTTAAGACATTTTTAAAACATTTGCAAAAAGTCACTCACAATTTTTGACAACAAATGAAAATAAATTTAAAAATCCAGTATTTGTTTTTTATTTCAAAGTAAATTAATAAAATTAAATTGATTGGATATTGTAAAAATAATACTTATTTTTTGCTTAAAACAGTGAAAATAATGTTTATTTATGCATGGTAACCCATGAGCTGTTATAACCCCAATATCCTTCTAATGGTAATTTTCAAAAATCATATTAAATTTTACATTTTTCAATTCTTAAAAAATGTCTTCATTTATTACAAAAATCCCTTATGAAAAAATTACATTTTTTAAAAATAGATATTCAATGTAGATTTTTCTATCGAATGTGAAAGAAATTATGCACATACCAACTTTCAACGAAAATGATTTTTGAGTTTTATTTTTTGGTAAGGTTTATAACAAATATTCAGTATGTTAACAGCTGAATTTGAATAGTTTACTCAAGTAATATCTACAGGGATTTTTCTTTTATGTAAGTGTAAAAAGTTTTCTAAAAATTTAAATGTCTTAATATTTGAAAGTTAGGATGGAACTATCAAAAAAACAACATGCATCACTTCACCATCAACCCACTTCAAACATGCTCAAGCACAACCAGACTACAGCTTGGCTGGAAGCAAATCAGCAACTGAGTAGCAATTTGTGGAATTTCAAGAAAGCATGTGAAACATCTGCAACAAAGACACAAGCAACAAAAATTACTTCTGAAACTTTATGTTCAGTAAAATATTGCTAAAAATGAGAGGCAAAAGAAAGAAAAAGACTTAAGTTTCTGTAGAGAAACAGAATCATTAATTCGGTCATCAAGTATGGTGATCTTGTGAAATCTGTGGTTTGGAAAGATCAACTTAAATATTTGAAAGTTCTCTTAATTAGCAAGATTAACACCAGTGGAAATAAATCTCAGATGGAAGCTGTGCTTTGTAACCACTTATTAGAAAAATCAGTTGATTCATCTCCTCCTCTAAGACAAAGAAAAGGCACTCAGTGATTCTGAATATTTAAACAACTCTAGAAGTTATGAAGAAGAAGAATCATCATCTCAGGTGATCTTCAGTTATGAGTTCCAAGCCTAATGAGTTGTATTATATTATGGCTTTAACTTTTACATTGGCTAACACGATGTTGCATCTCCATTCAGTGCTGTGATAAAGTTTTTAGCTTTAACAAAGAGCAAAAATTATTATTTCCAATGAGGCCATCAGAAATAATCATTGTCAGATGAGATTGAACAAGTAAAATCAGCATTTGTCTTCAGATGGGAATTTGATATAGTGCCTGTTTCAAGTGATGGCTGGATACAGAGTGTTCCCAAAATATTAACCATATCAGAAGCTTATAAGGAAATTCAGTCGGCAAATCACCATTAGGAGAGAACCATTCACAATGTCCAGAGTCTTTTCTATCAGTTTAAAACTATATAAAGTATTTTTCACTTTGCAAAACGAATTTCTAAGTTTTGTTGTCATTACTGTCCTGTTACATAATTTACAAAAAATATACAAGATTTATATTACAGTGAAAAAGCTGTTTTGTTGATTTCCTCACCCCAAAATTAGTAAAGTTTATAAATTTCAGGCATCTACTTCTAATGGATACTCTTTTATGTCAAGTTCAATGTGGTATACTTTGCCATCCTGTCAAATTGTGGTTGTGGCTGTTTTTATGTGGTGTAAGTATATTTTTTTTATTGAGCTACCACAGAGAAAGAAATAGCTTCATCTTTATTGTGCTTTGAAGTATAGGAAAAATTTGTAAGGCATTGAATGCTGAAATGAAATTTATATGATCAGTCAAATTTGCCCTTCTGTGTCATATTTTTAATTTTTTTTTTTTTTTTTTTTTTTTTTTTTTTGAGAACAAAATTTCCCCAATGTTTAGGCTGGTCTATGAAATTATTGATTCAATTAGGATTATCTTTCTTTTACTTCAAGACTACCTATGTAACATTACTTTCATAATCATTT